AGAACCCCTATTCTACCAAATCTTTCCATACCTTTATTGTACTGGTACATTTATTTTTGTGGATATGTGTGTGTGTGTGTGTACACACACACACACACTGGTGAGAGTATTCATGTTTTTTATTCATTTCATTCTATTTGAACCATTATAGTAGGCTACTGTGCTCTTAATTTTGTATCGGTTCATTTCCTCTACTGCTTCTTGGGGCAATCAATGCCCCTACACCTTTACAAAAAATAATAAAATTAGTACATAGGAGGTCCAAGGCTTCCCTCCTCCTCCTCCCTTTTTCCCTTTCCCTCCTTCACTCAACCCCTTTGCAAAGAAAATAAATCATCAGCATACTTTGCAAGTCTTTTGCACAGCATCTGGAGGAGGAAATAAGTTTTGAAAGATTTGTAAAGTATCTTTAAGAGTACATTTAAAAAGAGAAAGGAGATGCAACTCTTCTTTACAGTTAAAAGCAGGAGGTGTCTCTTCTCAAGCTCTCTTTTGCTGCCTCCTTCTGAGCAATATATTCATGTTATTTCTGTTAGCAGCAATGGCTGTTACTGCTGATGTGTTGATATACCTCTTTCACCCACAAAGTGGTGGTGGTGGGCGTAGGCTGTATCCTTCAAGCTGCCTCCTTCTGAGCAATATGTTCATGTTATTTCTGTTAGCAGCAATGGCTGTTACTGCTGATGTGTTGATATACCTTTAAAAGAAAAGAAAAGGGGGGAAAAGGGTAGAGGCAAAGTGGCAATGAAGTGGCCACAGCACCCAGAAAACTGATCCCTTAGCAAAGAAAAAAAATGAACAGCAATGTTCTCATACGATGACACTATAAAGAATTAAGCAATTCATCATCAGTACAGAACAGAACAACCCTCCCAGCGAAGGGAAAATAAACCAGAAATAAATCACTGGCCGGGAAATTGAGTCAATGTATTGTGTGATCAGAAATGATCTTTAAAAAAAAACACAGCCATATCAGTATAACTGGGATTCCTTTGCCAGATGTGGTCAAGCCCTAGTATTGCTAATATTTCTTCAGACTTCTTATTCTATTTTGATAGTTCTTTCTGATAGCAGAAAGTATTCCATTTTTCATCTCATTGGCCAATTACAAAACATGTTCCTGGGTATTTCAGTATTACAGTGATGTTGCTTCAATAAAACAGGAAATGATACTGGAACAAATGTTTAGGATCTGGGAATAAGGGATCAACCCAGCCATCATTTGTAATAATAAAGCCTCCAGTTGTTGTGATGGCTTGAAATGTTTAGTTTCATACAAAAAGAACAGTTTGGGGCAGATTTCATGAGAAAAGGAGGGTTGTTGGTTTGGCTGACATTGAAAGTTGACTTCATGGAGAGCTGGTGATTGGAAAGTCGAACAAATTTAAAGATTAGGACTCAGAAGCCAAAATCTTGTTGGGAAAAAAGCGCAGACTAGGCAACAGATTATGAAGGAGATATCTTAAGAACAGGTAGGGATGGAATGAGGTGTGAGAAAAAAAGTAGAGGAAGCAAAATAAGAAAGGACCAATAAGAATGCATGCTGGGCATGAGGATGGGGAAAGGATAAATTCAAGGGAGGTTGGGCAAAAAAATGGGTGGCTAAAGGAAATGAGGCAAAATTTGATAACTGAGGGAAGTTACTTGAAAGCACAAACTTGAAGAATCAGTGGGTGTTGTGAAGAAAGGCAGAGCCTTCTGAGTAGAACTAAGACTGAGCTAGATCTGTACATAGGATGTAAAGAAGAGTTTTCAGTGTTGGTGATAACATTCAAAAACCCCTTTAGAACGCAAACGATTCTTCTGCCCCCTCACTTCTAGTTCATAACAAAAAGAAAATAAAGTGCATACGTGTAGCAAGTAAGTTATTAAAAACCTACAAAAAATGAAAGCCAAAAATATGTAATAATTAATATTCACCTTGAAATGAATAAGCAGCTGTTGCTTCTAGAAAATTAAAAACATTCGTCAGTCTAATTCTGAAACTTCTGTGTGAAACTTGTGCTTGAGTGACTAAGTTAAGAGCCTTGTGGCACAGTGGTTAAACTGCTGTACTGTAGCCCAAAACTGTGCCCGGGGTTCAATCCCAGGTAGACAGCTCAAGGTTGACTCAGCCTTCTATCCTTCTGAGGTCAGTAAAATGAGTACCCAGCTTGTGGGAAAGGGGGTGGCAATGTGTAGCCTGCATAATTGTAAACTGCCCAGAGAGTGCTTGAAGCCCTATGGGGCAGTATATAAGCAGCATGCTTTTTTTCTTTAACAAGCAGAAGGGAAAAGTGAAAAGCCTGGAGTAGTTATCTATATGGGCAGGAAGGAGGGTGTTGCCTCCCTGGAATCATAGAAGTATTTATAAATGCACTATTTAAAAATACACAGAGAGAATATGTTGACTGAGTCTAACTTCCATCCTCACCAACCAGCATGTGCAAAGCTCAGGCATGGATGGTGGAAGTTACAGTTCAGAAACACTTTGGTGGGCATAGTTCCCCCATCCCTAGCCTAGACTCCTGTGTAGAAATTTTGCCAGCTGTGGCTATGTTTGCTTCTTTTTATTGTAACTGGACAAGTGGCCAGAATGAGAAGGAGTGAGTATCACATCCATTTAAACTAGCCAGCCAATTCTTGGCTAAAGGCTGTATATTGCTCTCAAGATTACTAGGGACTACTTAAGACCCTAGATACAAATGACTGTAGATCAGATGTAACTGCGCTTGAAAACTTCTTCTCCTTCAACTTAGGGTAATTGTCGCATTCCCCACGCACCCCTTGATTGTTTCGCCAAACAAAGGCTCACACCACGAGCTGTTCAGCTGCCACCAGTTGTTCACAACAACTTTCAATGTTAATGACAGAGGTCCAGACAACATGTCATTTTATATAAAGCAGAAATAGTTTATTATAACAAAGAATAAAAGTTAAGCCAACATTGTTTGTTCTGAACTAAACAGCCCTTAATGATCTTCATCGGTTTGCTACACATCAGCTCTTGCTTAACAATCTGTCTCCCCAAAAATCCAAATCCACCATCCTCCTGTCTCTATCTGTCTCCTCAAAAATCCAAATCCACCTCCTCTTCATGTCGAGACTCTTATATCTTGTGACTCCGCCTCTTTGAGACTCTTATATCTTGTGACTCCGCCTCTCCAGCAACTCTCATTGGCACATGCAGATAGCACATTAATATCCATGACCTGGGCGGACCCCACAGTAATGTTATTCTCTGTAGTCTTTACACACAAAAATTCTGCATCTCAGAAAAATTATGGCTCACTAAGCTTTTATACTGATGTGACCAGTATGGGAAGCCACAAAGTGGACCCAGTTTATACGGTACTTACGTACTTATGATAAAGACAGTCCCAAAATACTTCTCTAGTGTAGTCGGAGCTCTTGCCATATTGGTAGCATGTGCAAATGCTCTTCATGTTGGTCTTCCAATTAGTGTCCTTGGCTTCTTTGGTGTCATCTCCAATGAATACCCAACTATTGGCATGTCCACCTAGAGGCAGACTGGCCGGCTGCTACCACTTTGCAGCAAGAGCATATGAATTGAGCCTAAACATTTTATGGATATAATGGAAGGATTATTGTTTTTTTTTAAGTTTGTTCTTTTGTGTTTTTTAGAAAATACCATTTTGAATGATGCTTAAAATGCATGCTATCTTTGAAGCTGTGTTGTTTATAAATGGTTTTTAAACAATATTGTTTCTCTCCCCAAAACTTTAAAGGATAGAATGAATTAATAAATGTAAGCGCTTTTGTTTTTTTAAAAAAAACAAATGCAGAAGAGGGTTGGGGTCCTGAGAATGAATTAGGTCGTAGGAATAGGAGTTAAGAGACTATGGGCAAAAGTCTTGTTGGTGCAGTTTCACCTGCATAAATTGGATCTAGGTACTGGAAATAATTTTAAAAAATTTATTTAAAGCTTCCTATTCCACTCTGCCTGTCTACAGGCTTCAGGTTCTGATGCTCCCGTTTGCCTAGGGAAAGATTTGGGAGGTTTGAAATATAGTGGGGGAGCTTTTAGTAGTCAAAAATCACCACTTGATTACCACCAGTGGTATCAAGACTGCTGCCAGTGATCTACCAGTGATTTTTGACTATTGAAAGCTCTCCCTCCTTCAGATTTTGAAGTTCTCAGGAGATTCCCTAATGCAAAAGGGAACCCTAAGGGCCTCAGAATCTGAAAAGAGATGATGATGATGATGATGATGATGATGATGATGATGATGATGATGATGATGATGATGATGATGATGATGATGATGATGATTGCATGTTGTCAAGTCAATTCTGACACACAATTTATGACTACTTTTTTCCAAGATTTTCAAGGCAGAGAACACTCAGATGTGGTTTGCCATTTTCCAGGGGCACCTGGGACTATGTGGCTTGCTCAAGATAATAAAAGCTGGCTCTTCTGGGATGCACAGCGGGGAACTAAACTCACATCCTCTGGCTCCACAGCCAGATACCTAACTCACTGAGCTAACCAGCCAATGAAGGGGGAAGATTGGAAGCTTTAAATTAATTGAAATGAATTATTTCCAGCCCCCTAATCTGATTTATGCAAAGTTATGCAATAGGATTTGCTCACTGATTCACATCCTAGCCCAGCGATCTACAAGCTTGCTTGCATCATTCTTCCCTTCCACCGTTCTATTCTTCCTTCCTTCCTTCGTCTTTTCTTTCCTCTTGTTGTATACTTCCAAAGAATAATAAAAGTTGGCAGTGGGGGTGGAACCTTGGTCCAGGTAAATGTGCACTAAGTGCCTAGAGTTTCAGTTCTCTCCCCATAAATAAAATATCAGACAGTCTAATTACAGAGCTTTGTGTTGAAATAATGTGTGAACAGCAACAGCAACAACAACAACCACTGCCATATGAATATGAATCTCATTATTATAATTTTTTCTATCAATATCTAGTAGTTCTTCAGACATATTTTTCAAAGTTCTAATAATGTGACCTTGCCTCATAAACTTCTCATTTTGCCCTAGCCTTGGAGTCGTAGTCTTGTTTCTTTGGCTTCAGAGACCTGGTAGTGGTAAGTTACATTCACAATGCTTCTTATCCTTAGATCAAGTTAATGAAAATTGTCAAAGTTATCATATCCTCTTTGTAAGGTTCCGGGAGGATTGTCGAACTATAAACAAAAGCACTTTAAAACATTGTGTGGTAGTATGCACATAATGTAGCATGGTACCGTTTCTTATCCTTGCTTAATAGCAGAACTTGAAAAAGTAACTTTCTTGGACTACAGTGTAATCAAGCTGGCTTTCCTCTAAATTTCTGCTTTACCTTACCACATACTGCTGTCCATCCCAATGACAAAAGAAGATAAGGGCATGGAAAGAATCTGGGTTGTTACTGACTCAGGATTGTTGTCTCTTCCTGGAGTTGCCAATCCCTGCCTTGAATCTCTGGCATAAAGTTTGTCCTTCCTGTAAAGTGGCAAATATATAATTCTGACCAAGGGTGTGATGAGAGCTAGACCATAAAGAAGGCTAGAATTGCCAAAGAATTGATGCTTTTGAATTGTGGTGCTGGAGGTCTGGCATAAAGTTTGTGCTTCCTGTAAAGTGGCAAATATATAATTCCGACCAAGGGTGTGATGGGAGCTAGACCATAAAGAAGGCTGATCACCGAAGAATTGATGCCTTTGAATTGTGGTGCTGGAGGAGGCTCTTGAGAGTCCCCTGGACTGCAAGGAGAACAAACCTATCCATTCTGAAGGAAATCAACCCTGAGTGCTCACTGGAAGGATAAATGCTGAAGCTGAGGCTCCAATACTTTGGCCATCTCATGAGAAGAGAAGACTCCCTGGAAAAGACCCTGATGTTGGGAAAGTGTGAAGGCAAGAGGAGAAGAGGAC